GGGAGTACCAGACCATCTCATTTGTCTCTTGAGAAACCTATATGCGGGTCAAGAAGCAACAGTGAGAACCGAACACGGAACCACTGATTGGTTCAAAATTGGAAAAGGAGTCCGGCAAGGCTGTATACTGTCGCCCTGCCTATTTAACTTATATGCAGAGCACATCATGAGAAAGGCAGGGCTAGATGAATCAAAAGTTGGAATTAAGATTGCCGGGAGAAATATCAACAACCTAAGATATGCAGATGATACCACTCTAATGGCAGAAAGTGAAGAGGAACTAAAGAGCCTCTTGATGCGGGTGAAGAAGGAGAGTGCAAAAGTTGGCTTGAAACTCAACATTAAGAAAACCAAAATCATGGCATCCGGCCCTCTCAATTCCTGGCAAATAGATGGGGAAGAAATGGAGGTAGTGACAGATTTTATTTTTCTGGGCTCCAAGATCACCTCAGATGGGGACTGCAGCCAAGAAATTAAAAGACGCTTGCTCCTGGGGAGGAAAGCTATGGCAAATCTAGACAGCATACTAAAAAGCAGAGACATCACCCTGCCAACAAAAGTGCGTATAGTCCAGGCCATGGTTTTCCCAGTTGCAATGTATGGCTGTGAAAGTTGGACCATAAGAAAGGCTGAGCGCCAAAGAATTGAGGCCTTTGAACTATGGTGCTGGAGAAGACTCCTGCGAGTCCCTTGGACTGCAAGGCGTTCAAACCGGTCAGTCCTAGAAGAGATCAACCCCGACTGCTCTTTGGAAGGCCAGATCCTGAAGTTGAAACTCAAGTACTTTGGCCACCTAATGAGAAGGAAGGATTCACTGGAGAAGAGCCTAATGCTGGGAAAGATTGAGGGCAATAGAAGAAGGGGACGACAGAGAATGAGATGGCTGGATGGAGTCACTGAAGCAGTAGGTGTGAATTTAAATGGACTCCAGAAGATGGTAGAGGACAGGAAGACCTGGAGGAACATTGTCCATGGGGTCGCGATGGGTCGGACACGACTTCGCAATTAACAACAACAATATATTCATTATATAATCCCATTTTAAGACTGAAATTAAACCACAGAGCTAATGGCATTAATATTTACCTAATTTTTGCACCGTCTTTGTTCTTCATCTGTTATTGCATGGAGGTCATGTAAAAATATTTATGTGAAAGTTAAAGCATTTTGAAGCATAAAGAACCTCAATATGCCTGCATATTGCAGCAGGAAGGATATCCATGGGTTTTCAAGGTTTCATGATTTTATTTCCAAGATATTTATGTTGCATTTTAGCACATTACTCTACTCTGGCAGGCCATATAGGAGATGCTTAATTAATCATTCTAATTAGTCTTCTGGCATCAAAATTGGAATCTGTGCAATTTTTTAAAAATAATTTCCATGCAATGGATGAAAAATGAACTGAAGAATGGAAAGGATGCCCCTCTACTTCCTTTAAAAAGATGTACCACACTTATAAATGAGGTATTATTTCTTTTGACTGTTGAAGTTCTGTAGGAGAAAACCAACTCAGCAGGTTTTTCTTTAATTATAATTAACAGAACTGCCTCACTGACCTCGCACTTCCAAGTATGACGAAGTTCTCTGAGAAGAGAGTTGAATGAATGTTAAGCAAATATAACCAAGTAACCAGAAAAGCAACAAGAATCAAAATTAAGGTGACCAACTTTTTTACAATGAAAAGGAGGACACAAATAATTTGAAGAAAAAAATATCGTAAATAAAAGAAATATTTTATTCATTGCAACAATAATACAGAATACATTATAATATGATAAACACATAATAAAAACATTTGTAACAATAACATTTTATATTGTAATTATGCTTACATGCCTATTAATTATTATTTAAATGAGTACTTTTCCATTGAATGAATATTTTTGTCAATGTATCATCTTCTAACAATATATCGGAAATATCTGAACAAGAAATATCCTTCATATTAAATTTTACGGCAAGTGCTGCAGCTACAGTATCAACATTCAATCTCAATTTCTCACTTTTCCCAAAACCAATAGCAATTGGAAAAACCCTTTCAACTGCTGTATTAGTTCCAGGGCAGCACAATGTAAATTGAACAAGAATAAATAAATTTTCACATGGAATATGTTCATTTTTGAAATGGCTTAATATTTCCACCCATCTTTTATCAATTTCAATGTGTTTATTTTCCCATTGTATTAATTTTTCAGAATTTAAAAATACATTCAGTCTTCTAATTTCTTCAGGTAGATAATTGTCATCTATTTTAATGTCTGGCATTTCTTTAGATAAAAACTCAACACAAGATTCAATATCTGTCCAATATACTTGCGATGAAGTAAAAAAACCACCATTGAAAACTGTTATTTCCTGTGATGTTTGTTTCAGACTATTCTTCGATATATTGAAAACACGTTTGGTAAAAATTCTGCACTTCTTTGATAAACTTTTATGTTATATCTGGATTTGATTCCTCTAAGTCTGACAATTTTCTTTTTATACTGTAACTAAAGGAAGAAATTTTTCCTCAAATCGAGTTTTATATTGAAGGATAAAGTCATTGAAAATAAGACTAACTTCTGTAGCTGAAATGTGTTCACATTCAATCTTTTGAATCATTTTGTGAAAAATAGATGCTTGATTATGTACAAAATATATTAATATCTCAGATATTTCATTATTGAAAAATGATTCCAGGATTTTAGGACACTTGTCTAAACTTAAAAAATATGAACGGAGAGGCTCAAATAATGGTAAAACACGCTCTATAGCAGGTGTTAGAGCAAGCCATCTAACTTTTGAATATCCTAAAAGTTTTTTGTATTGAACATTCGCTTCTTCACAAAATTGTTTTAAAATAGCCACATGAACGGTAAAACGACTAAAATACAAATAAATTGTAGTTATTATTACTTCTACATCAATTGGTATGGCACATGACGCTGTGTTGATTGCATTTGACAAAATATGTGCATTACAACCTTTTCCTAGTATTTTGTTTTGGAGTAAATCTTGTAATTTTATATACACATTATTCACCCCTTTGCGTCTTCGCCCACCAAAATTTGTGTTTGTATTATCAGCTGTTAGTGCAACAACTTTGGATTTCAAATTGTTTTCATTTATTATTCTGTATAGATGGTTTGACAAAATTTCAGCAGTTTCGCCCTCAATGGATTCTAAATTTAAAATTTTTATTTGAATGCCCTTGGTAACATTAAAATATCTTACTAGTATTGGATACAATTTAGTTTCATTATGATTGGATGCATCAGATAAAACTGTTACAAATGCTGCAGTTTCCAATTCTTCTGTAAGTATTTTGTCACAGTAATTTTTAAATACTGATTTAATAATAGCCTCGCATTTTGTCCTGGCACATGAAAATTTAGCATCATGAAACTTTTTCAATAATTTAGTTGTACAATCCATACTACGAAAACTTTGATTGTGAATTATGGTATGGAATGCAAATGTTCCCTCCATTGCAGCTAACTGTTTTTCATCTTCAGAATACTTTGAATTTAAAAAAACTTGTTACTTTACAACTGGAAGCAGATGCATCTGATGATTGCTTATGTTTCTTGGTGGTCAAGTGTTTCGTAATAGCTGCTCTGCACCCAACTGCAATACAAAATTCTCCGCTGCAAATATTGCAGAAAAAAATGTTATCCTTCTTTGATGTGATGAATGGAAATTCCTTATTCAATTTATCATTGAAATGGCATTTCCTCTTTACTTGATTTTTCCATCCCTAAATGGAAGTTAGTCTCCTCCAGGTACCTTCGGGACTAACTAGGAGATGGTGTAGTTGGGTAACAGGGAGGGGTGCAAAGTTTCTGCCAATTCACCTTCGCTGCAGACAACTTGCATGTGCAGAATTTGCCGGCCAGGTGTATTGGCGCACTCAGCAGCAATTCCTATTGGCTTTCAAAAGCCAACAGGGGGAGTAGCACAGCTCATGCAAAAGTTGAAAAAAAACCATCAAAAAAGGTGCCAGAATGCCATTCCGAGCGTTCTATGAGAAAAAAAAGCCCTGCAGATTAGTCTTCAAATATCGAAAAGGAGGACATGTAGGAGGACACTTTTCAAGGGAGGACAGAACTTACAAAAGGAGGACTGTCCTCCCTAAAGGAGGACAGTTGGTCACCTTAATCAAAATGGATGCATTTTTAACATTGAAACACAGTCATTTTCATTTTCCAACTTTTCTTGCTTGCTGTGTCAAAGAAGTGCCATTAAGCTTGACACTCAAAGGACAATGAAGGTTTAATGGAACCCTCTCTGAAATCTGTCTACTGGCTTACCTATTTTACTTTACTATATTGTGGCTGTGTGAACATAGTGTAGTAAAACTACTTTGGAAAAGAAAAAGGCTAGAATATATGGGACACAGTATACTAAAGCTCCCCTATTTTGGGCTGGATAAATCTTACCTTCTTGCCTTCTTTCTTCACAATTTGAAAAATAAAATTTAGAATATAATATTAATAATCATAATTGGATTCATCAATACCTATCTAGCTCCATTGATTTTAGTTTCACTTTTACCTTAGTTGTAGAGTCTGCATTAATATATCCTTTTCTATTTTTATAAAATTTACCAATTTATAATCTTGAGTTTATAAATGTACTCTAATAGGTATTTCACAGGTAAGCATCCTCTGTAATTTTATCCTTGTAATCTTTATTATGTTATTAATATTTCATCTCATAAATTTTATCTCATGTATGCTGGTCTTTGATAAAAATTAATGGAAAGTCTAAATCTGTTTCAGACTTAATAAACATCAATAAAGGAAGACAAATTTCCAAAACACTATGCTTAAATCTTGCTACTTATGTCCACAATATATGTTGGCTACATTCTTCTTCAAAGTGGTTTTGCCTTTTATTAATATAATTTAAACTGCACAACAAGGCATGAGGTTGCAGCTTTTGAATATATAAATGAAATTAGGTGTTAAACGTGTTCCAGTGACATTTCTCTTCTTTTCCTGCCTACCCCTTAGCCTCTCTGGTCTGATCCAGATCTGGTCTGGCGGAGTTACACATTGAGTATTGATGGTGGGGAAATCATCTTCAACTGGTTTTGAGGTAAGCAATTGTGTCAGTAAAAAAACTTAATCAAATTTCACTCTCTGAGCTTATGTTAGAGGAAAATTATATGTACAAACTTTCTATCTAAAAGCATTTCTATTTGAATCATTTAAGCAAGCTTTCTATCAAGTATTTCTATCTAAACCCTAATTAAAATAATGGGAATAAATTAATCATAAATATTTTGCTCCACTAGTTTCAGCAAAAGTTGAGCTTTTTAATCTCCCAACTCTTCTGAACTCAGTTTAAAATATACTTGAGACCAGGATAAGCTGTTTTAAATGATCTGTATTCTGACAGTAGAATACACATATGTTTATATGATTGTGAGTCTGGAGCTGGCTCTGGCCAATAGCTGAGCACAGAAATCTATTAATCATTTAGTCAATCAATGTTCATTAGCTGGCCCTAATGGCTGCCCCAATTTCATATCTAAATAGTTTCCTATTACCTATTTCCTTAGCTTCTTCTGACTATAAATTTGTTGTTTGTATTTCATGATTTATATTGATTGCCTACATTTAGTATCCTATGACTATCACTGGGTTTGTATCTATGTTTTATGATGATTGTGTTTGTATCTATGATTTTATGATTATGATCATGATTGTTCACTTGTTGCTTATATGTACACTGAGAATTTATGCACTGTAGACAAATGCCTGGTATGTCCAGTCACACTTGGCCAATAAAGAATTCTATCTTCTGTACATCTATCTCAAGGCAAACACAACAAATTAGTAACATTTCCCATGTCTTTGTGTTTATAACTGTGGCAAACATCCTTTGGTTTCCAAATGTCTTGAGCTCCTTTACTAATCAAGCTTGCATACTGCCAGGGTAGAGTAAACCAAGAATTAGATCCAGTTAGAATACAAGACAAATACAGGACCTTTTAAAGCTATATTTCTGCCTTGAAATAGCAATGCCCCATTCATAGGTGCAATATTAGTTGTATAGTCAGGTATCAAAATTACAAATTCCTTGTCATGACATCATGTAATGAACAGAGACTTGTCTCACCCCACTTTGAGAGTTGGGACTATGTGAAAGACCTCTAATTTCAATTGGATCAAGGCTCAGCAAATATGAATTATGTATTAGAATACTGTCAAATGCATATAGTATGTTTCAGCTGTATATATTTTTTCTCTCTGAACTTCTGGTTTCTTTCATTGAAGAAGGCTTTATAGACAGTTTTCTCCAACCTGAATATTAATAAAAGTGGAAAAAGTGTTGTTACTATTATTAATTAAATATACTTCCGCTGGGAATCTACTCCCTATATAGGTTCCTAGATATGTATGCCTATTTACTGTACCAATACATGTTAACATTTATGAGTCCTCCACATCATAAACAGAAAGCATATTGTGAAAAAAAGAATGAAAAACTAATTGTTTCTAAATTTGCTTAAAACTATGTTTTCATCCTATTTCTTCTATAGAGTTAGTAGTGTTATGTCCCGAGCCTTGCAAACGGCTCGGACGTTTGCAGGCAGTCCCGGGCACGTGCAAAGCTGCCCGGGACCAGACAGGCTGTCGCCAGCGCCGTGCGCATGCGCGGGTGCTGGCGCGGGAAAAGTAACCCATTTACCCGGGAGTTGCCTATATAAGAGGCTGCGAGGCGTTTGGGCGAGGCTGAAGCCATCTTCCTGTAAGCTGAACGCTGAATAAATGAAACTGAGAACTCCAGCTGCTTCTCGTGTCTGTTTTCCCGCCACGGACTCAACACTGGCGACGAAGGTGGGATGCCTTGCACTACCTGGAAAGGAAGAAGTGTAAGCTTACCCAAGGAGTCCTGAGCGGCGAAAGAGGAACGGCGTCGACTCGGCAGCTGCCCGCCAATCCGGTGCGCATTCGGGGGTAGGCTGGCTGATAGACCCGTCTCCTGAAGATCCGAAGATGGCGAAAATCGGAAGGCTTTCGGAATTCGACGTCTCACATCCAGAGCGGTGGGAGTCCTACGTATCCAGAATGGAGAACTACTTCAAGGCAAACCAAGTGAGGGAAGATAGCTTGAAGGCGGCCACCCTGCTTTGCGTTTGCGGCCAAGACGCCTTCGAAATCGCAGAAAACATTGCAGCACCTGTCCCAGTAGAGTCTGTAAGCTACGCAGACCTGAAGAAGCTGCTGAAGGAGCACTTCAACCCCAAGGTGTCCGTTATCTCATGGCGCCACATCTTCGAACAAAGGGATCAACGGTCCGGTGAGTCAGCCAAGGAATACATCGCCGCGTTACGGAAGGCCGCCAAGCCCTGCGAGTTCAAGGACCTCGAGGAACGACTGAGGGACCGATTCGTGTGCGGGTTAAGGCATCGCGAGCTACAACAGAGACTTTTCGCAAAGGAAGAATTATCCTTCCAAGACGCCTTAAGGGAAGTCACCGCAGAAGAAGCAGCAGGCGGCGCCGTCAAAAACATGCGGCCGATCAGAAACAGTGCAGAGGGTGCGTCCGTGCACCAGGAAGACGTCCGACGAAACTCCGAGGAGGATCCGGACGAGGAAGTCGACCGTCTACACCCCGCGAAGGAAGAGAACCAGAAGGGAAGCTCTTCGGCTCCGCTCAAGTGCATCGGCTGTGGAGGTCGCCACAGGAGAACCGACTGCAAGTTCCGCTCCGCTACCTGCCGGGCATGCGGTAAACAAGGGCACATTGCAGCTGTGTGCCTGGGCCGACGAAAGGCACAACCCCAAGAAGAACGCCTGAAGGGTACCAGATTCCCCAGCCAGAATAGGGTAGGTTTTTGCGCTTCGCGAAGAAGCATCTGTAGAACAGGCACACACAAGCCCATGAAGAAAAAGCTGTCACTCAACGTGAAGCTACAAGGGGTTCCATTATCTATGGAACTAGACACAGGGTCTGCCCTGTCCATCATTTCATTGCATACATTTAGGAAGATTTGTTCCAGAAGTGGGTCTAAGGCCAAGTTAAGGCCTTCTGATATTGTATTAACAGATTTTCAGAACTCAAGAGTGTGTGTTAAGGGGGAGGCCACCCTTAACGTGCAATACAAGAGTTTTGAAGGTCCACTAGACTTATTAGTAGTAGGGGGTGAACGAACGAGTCTCATAGGACTCGATTGGTTTGAGGCCCTGGGGATACACGTCACAGGACTCAACAGCTTACAAACACTCGACCTACAGGAAGTCTGCAAAGAATTTGCAGATGTTTTCAGCCCCCAGCTGGGCACATTCAAAGGACCACCTGTGTCCTTAAAGCTAGACCCCACTGTCACTCCCATTAGGATTAAAGCAAGAAGGGTCCCTTTTGCTTTAAAAAGTAAGATTGACACTGAACTAGACAAACTAATCCAACAGGGAATCCTAGAACCTGTTGATTCCAGCCCGTGGGAGACCCCCATTGTCACGCCTCTAAAGGCAAATGGGGACATTCGCATTTGTGCTGATTACAAATGCACACTCAATAAGGCATTGCAGCAACATGCCTATCCTGTTCCTGTGGTCAGTCACATCCTGGCCTCTCTCAAGGGGGGGCGTGTTTTTGCAAAGCTTGACCTAGCTCAAGCATATCAACAGCTGCCTGTTGATGATGATGCTGCCATAGCTCAGACCATTGTGACCCACAGGGGAGCCTTTAAGTAAAAAGGCTACAGTTTGGAGTGAATGTCGCTCCTGGGATTTTCCAAAGCGTTATGGAAAACACACTACGAGGTATACCAGGGGTCTGCCCCTACTTTGACGATGTCTTGATTGCAGGAGACTCCACACACATTCTAGCTGAAAGGCTTAGGGCTGTCCTGTTAAGATTCAGGAAATCAGGCCTCAAGCTCAGAAAAGACAAATGCCAGATTGGGGTGCCTTCTACTGAATTTCTGGGATTCAAAATTGATGCTGCTGGGATTCATCCTGCTGAATCCAAACTAACTGCTATTTTAGATGCACCCAGGCCAAAGTCTAAGGCCGAACTTCAGGCCTTTCTAGGCCTCCTGAATTTCTACAATTCTTTTCTTCCACATAAAGCTAGTGTAGCTGAGCCTCTTCACAGGCTACTAGACAAACAGGCTGTGTGGCTGTGGTCACAAGCGCATGAGGCTTGCTTTAAAGAAGTCAAGGCCTTGCTCACTTCTAACAGTGTTCTTGCACATTTCAACGAGTCTCTCCCTGTGTGCATCGCTTGTGATGCGTCCCCCTACGGGGTTGGAGCTGTCCTGAGTCACCTCAGGTCTGATGGAACTCAGGTTCCTATTGCATACTACTCCAGAACACTGTCTTCTGCCGAGCGCAACTACGCTCAGATAGACAGGGAGGCTCTGGCTGTTGTTGCTGGAATTAAAAAATTCCACGATTTTCTATATGGCAGGCATTTCACGGTCTTCACTGACCATAAGCCTCTGCTGGGACTGTTTACCACACGTAAGCAGACTCCCCACATCATTTCCCCTAGAATGCTTAGGTGGTCTATTTTTTTGTCTGCATATGATTTTTCATTACTCCACAAGCCTGGGAAAGAAATGGGCCATGCTGATGGCCTCAGTAGGTTGCCTCTGCCAGTAGTAGAAGCTGACCCCGCGCCAGCTGTCAACATTCTATCAATCCAAGCCTTGCCCGAGCTCCCTCTTAGTGCCAGGGATGTTACCGCTGAAACAGGTACAGATCACACACTTTCACGTGTCCGCTCCTGGGTCCTGTCCGGGTGGCCTGAGCACTGCCCTAGTCCTGAGTTTCAGAGTTTCTGGTCCAAAAGGAACGAACTGTCCCTTTCTCAGGGTTGTCTGCTTTGGGGAAACAGAGTTGTCATTCCCACCTCAATGAGGACTAGGGTCTTAGAATCCCTCCACGAGGGTCATCCTGGCATTGTTCGTATGAAGGCTCTTGCACGCAGCCACTTGTGGTGGCCTGCTTTAGATAAAGATATTGAGGCTAAGGTACACACATGCCACCTGTGCCAACGATCTCGCCCAGAGATGCCCCAAGCTCCTGTGCATAGATGGGAGGAAACACAGTCCCCATGGTCTAGGGTGCACATTGACTACG